CCTGCCGGCCTCTGGATCCTGGACTTCCAGCCTCCAGACTGGGACCCAATACATGCTGCTCCCAGCCACCCAGGCACGTACAGTGCTTTGTCTCCACAGCCCTTGCAATCGACTAACCTCACTGCGTGGTTGTGGGGCCGGCTGGCTCCCCTCGGGGAGGCTCCTCCTTTAGTTTGCCTGGGCTGTCCTTAGGGCCTAGCCTGGAGGGCAAGCCTCTTATGTCACAACCTCCTCCCTGCTTTGTGTCTCTCCAACTTGCTCAGCACTGCTAACGGGATGCTCTCACCCCTCACCGACCTCGTCAGCCGACTCCTCTGCTGTGGAGTCGGCTCCAGCAAGGCAAGGACTGTCTCTCACCCCCACCTACTTCCCAGTGCCTGGAACGTGGCGAGAGCGCCACAAGTGTGTGTTGAATAAATAACAAAACGAATGAACTGACACATGTTTTAAACTCCCCTGCTTAAAATAAAAAATAGACTACAACAATCACAAAGAGTACAAGGCACAAGAGATGTCCAGAGGTAGTTAAGAGAATGCATGACCAAAAATAATGAGAACGCGCTCCGTGTACCAGACGCCTGCTACAAAGCCGCTGTCATTATTAAAAACCTGAAATGGCATAAAAATAGACACAGAGAGAGATGAGCGGACTAGAACAGGATTCAGAAATAGCATACAATATATTGAGGAATTTAATATAAAACCAAGACGTCTTTTAACCCAGCGTGAAAATGATGGTTTATCATCCAGGCAGGATAAAATAAAGCTGAACTCTCACTTCTTAACATCTACAAAAGCAAATGAAAATGAGAAAAGATATTCTTGGAATAAAATGATGCAAACTGCATGTATACATCGTTAGTATTAGGGATACACTGATAAATTAATTTTCAGGAATGGCTTTCCCTCTAGAAACTCTAACAACAAGAACATAGCTAATTCCACTGTGGGTCAAGAAGAACGAAAACAGAGCTATTTCTGTGTGGTCCTGGGCAGGGAGTAAAGGTGCCGGGCACCGGTGTCCCCACACTCCTGCTCGCCCTGCGCAGCTCGGAGCACGGCCTCCCTCAGCAAGCAGGGGCCAGACGCAGGGCACCCACCTCCCAGCGGCTCCTTGGGAAGCATGAGGGTTTATTTACACTCAGCTCAGGTCCTTCTCCTTCGTAGGGAGAAAATATTGACAGCTCTACAGATCAATATCTTCTCCTTCCTGGGCTGTGTTGGTCAGCACCAAATTATCTCAGTTTTGTGACACATACTTGGATAAAGGATACTTACCACCCAGGCCTCAAGCATGTTGATATGACCTTAGCTTTGATTCCCACTGGGAGGAAGCCAGCCGAATCATGGGGGACGTTTACCACGGTCTCTCCATTCAGGAAGCTACAAACCCATGGCCAGAATTTTAAAATTATATTAACACAATTAAGTGGGACCTTTCTTAATGTCCTTGTAAGGTTTTTTGTTTTTTTTTCCACTCAAGTCCCCTAAAATATTTTCGGTAAAAATGGTTCTATCATACAGAAAATTACTGTGAATAACAGAACACGAGCCCAAGAACCCACCTTTCAGATTTGATCCGTGCTGTTATTGGCCACCATTACTCCCTGTTGGGGAGGAGGGTCCTGCCAAACGCACCCCAGTTTTCCCCACCCTTGTCGTGATTCAAATTAGAGAGAGATTCAGGATTCTGAGGGCTGGAACCAAAGTGACAGTTTTATCACACCTGAAAGCTGACCTGGAGAGACGCTGAAGTGGTGACCACAGGACTGCAGTCACCAATGGCAGCGGATTGACCAAAGCACAGCCACACAGTGGGCTCTCGCTGGGCTTGCAAAGCAATGAAGCACTGATACTACACACCCCAACACGGATGGGCCTTGGACACAGCGCACGAAGTGAACGAAGACAGTGTCATATGACACCACGTGCAGGAAATGTCCAGATTATACAAACCTGAACAGACGGCAGGTTAGTGATTGCCAGGCGCTGGGGTCGGAGCAAAGGCAGAGAGAGACGCGGGTAATGAACACAGGGTTCTTCCCGAGGTGGTGGAAGTGCTCTGCAGTAGAGAGCTGGAATGGCCGCACAACCCTGTGGATGTACTAGAATCCACTGAATCGTATATTTTAAAAGGGTACATTCTTTGTCATGTGCATTACACCTCCATACAGCTGTTATACAAAAGGCTGAGGCTAAGTTATTCAAGCTGGTGAACGTACCCTCAGACACAGAAATGTTAATATACATGGCAGTTAAAAGACCCACACAAAAATATACAGATATTTTCAGGCAATTCGTACTAGAACAGTTTATATGACGTCTGGCTTCTGGTAATGGTGAAGCAGCTTATGCTGAACTAATCTTCCCATCAATAAAATTATAAACTCTAGATCAATTGTAAAGACAACTATCAAGATAATTATAAAAACTACCATTTCCAGACACTGGGGAATACAACTCAAAGCAGGCAGAAATTGGACACATTCGATGTTGGACAAAAGAAGGAAACTCAAAGTGACACCCACATTTAACTGAATGAATATAAAATAGTATTTTTCTTTTCATAAATACTTTAAAGAAATGAACATTTAAAGCCAACATAATGATCTATTTTGATGTTTACACCATATATACAAGTAAAGTATGTAACAACAAGAATACAATAGGCAGGCAGGATGAATAGAAAGCTCCCGCATACTTTTAATTCAAGATAAACTATGATAAATGAAGGAAGTGTTGCAATCGCTAAAGCAAGCACTAAAAGAAACAAACAGAAAGGGTGGCATCGGCAAAGAGCCAATCGAGGGCGTAGAATGGAATGCTGAAAATCCTTGACTAAACTAAATAAAACAGGAGAACAGAGGGAATGGTGGACAGGAGAGAGTAACACGGTGCCCCACCCCAAACGTATCTGTAATTACATTCAATACAAATGGAGCACGTGCTGCCATCACAAATCAAAGTTTGTCAGGCTAGATTTTAAAAAATAAACTTAAGGCTCAGCTGCACGCTGTCTACAAGAGGGACGTGTTAAGTGGGAAGACATAGATAGGACGGAAGGTAAGGGATGGAGGGGGTACAACAGGCAAGCAAGCCTCACCGTGCAGCTACGCTGAGGTCCCACGCAGCAAACTTTACAAGGGGGGTGGGGGGCGCATTTCAGTGAGAAAGGAGGCCATCTCACAGGGAACATTGGAAAAAGTCATCAGGACCTTGCAAAACACAGGCCAAAACTTAATGTGCATGCATCTAACGATCGAGTTTCAAAATAAATGAAGCAAAACTTGACAGAATGAAAGGGAAAACTAGACAGCTCCCTAATAATAGCTGGAGACTGTATCACCCACCTCTGCAACCGACAGAGGAACAGGACCAACACAAACAGAGAAGAGGTCACCAATCAAACAGCACCATTCACTACCTCAGCCTTGTGGATATTTATAGAACGTACGCCCAACGCCTGCAAAACACACTCTCTTTTCATGTGCACACGATCCGTTTGCCGAAACAGGCCCTGTGCGGGGTCACTAAACAACTCACAATAAATGTCAACAGAATCCAATCACTCAGAGCATTTATCTCAGGAAAACAGAATTAAATTCTGTAATGATGATGTATCAGGAAAAATTAGCCAACACATTGAGATGAAAACTCTCCATAATTGATCTATAAATTGAAAGGAATCCCAATCAAAGTGTCAGGGATTTTTTTTAACAGAAATTGACAGGTTGACACCAAAAAATCCGTGCAGAAATGTAAAAGTCTAGTATAGCCAACACCATTTTGAAAAAGAATAAATTTGGAAGGTACACACTACCTTATTTAATATAAAACTGCAGTTATTAACGTGATATGATATGCTCTCAAGGAGCGGGGACAGAATAGAGCCCAGGCAGACACACGCAGACACGTCGGCAGGTTTTGCCGAAGGTGCTATTGTAGATCTTCATATTCATCCTTAATTCTGACATAACTGGAGTTAATTTTGGTGTTTAGAGAGAAGTAAGGTCGCAAGTTTTTTTTCCTCTCAATGTATTCACCAATTATCCCAGAGCACCTCAGTGCAAAAATCTAACCTTTTCACAAAAGTCTAAGTATTTCATTTCAATGCATCACTTTTTCTAGTTAAAGAAATAAACGTTTATATTTAAAAATGAAAAAGGGTGACGATGATCATGATGCCACTAGGATCACGTGTCCTTCTCTGGACCACGCTGCGTCCACTGTGGGTGGGCGGGGTGGGCTGCAGGGCGCCCTGCTCCACGCAGACATCCACGGGTCCAGGGCCCTTCCCTCTGGTGACTCCACCATCCTAGGGCCTCGCAGTTCTCTGTTGGATTCTCTGCATCCGGCAGGCAAAAAGGAGACAAAAAAAAAAAGAAAGAACACAGGATCCCAAGAGTGTTTTTATAAGGTCAGGCCTGAAACCAGGATGCACCCGTCTGTCCCTAGTCCCCTGACCAACACTCAGTGACATGGGCCACCAATCCCAGAGAGGCTGCGATTGCAGGCCACCCATGGACGGGAGGCAACGGAAGCGCGCGGACGCCTGGCATGGCCCGCCTTGCCCTGGGGACAGAGAGAACTTTTCCAATGCCAGGCTCTGCCCGTGAATGTTATCCCCACAAGAGCCCTCGGAGATGGAAGCCACACTTTGTCATTTCATAGAAATGCAAACTCTGGCCATGATGAGGCCAGGGTCAGGGCCGTGGGGACGGAGGGGCCCAGGTGGACATCGCATGCGTTCAGCAGGTCGTGCTGATCCGTTGTGTTAGAGGCAGGGCACCAAGAGGGAAGAAGTTTCCAAAGCACTTCCTAGGTTTTAAATTTGAGGGTGACCATAACTGGGCAGTGACAATTTCTTCCTAGAATCTTTCTCGTGTGGCAGGAAATGAAATTGTGTGATCATATAGATTCCGCTTTGTATCTGGGGCTTCATGAAGTGCTGACGCTGCTGTGGGTGATTGTGAGAAAAATGAAAAAATAAATCAGGGAAAGAAAAGCTAGCCGCTCTTAAGGCAGATCTTAGATTACAACTTTGTTAGATCACAAAGGGCGGGCCCCGAGCCTTGGTTTCTTTCATCAGCGATTGTGTTAGGCCTCGCCTTGTTAAAAGAACGGCTAAGGTGGGAGGCTGCGTCAGCCAGGGAGCCGGACCCGCCACGGGGCCGTGACGCCTGTGGGTTCCAGGAGGAGGCACCGACCTGGGGAAACCAGGCCGACTCCTCAGCCTGTGCTGTCAGCCCGAAGCTGCAGCCACCTCAGGCAGGCGGAGCGTGGGGCTTGTGCCCACCCCACAGCTCAGACACGCCTCTGAGGGCAGCCATTCTGCTGCCTCCAGCAGACATCTGACCGAAGCCTCCAAGAGCGAGGGTCAGCCTCCCTGCAGCTCTGGCCCCTTCCTCTGACACCAACGGCCCCCATTTCCTGTGACGTGAAGCCCACACTCCATGGGCTACATGGCCACTTCTAACCAACCTCGTGCCGGTCTCAAGTCCAGCTGTGTAGTGGAGACAGACTAGTCTCAGAGAGACCTAGTCCTGAGTTCACTTCAAACCCCGGAAGGACTCACTGGGTTGCCATTTTGAGTGAGAGTGGCGTCCGTAGGCTCACGTTTCTCACACGGCGCACACGAGCCGGGAGTCCAGGGCGGGCGGGCTCAGGCCCCATCCATGTCTGGCCACACTCACCCTGCAGCCTGATCGTCACAGACCCTGAAAGAGACGTTTATTAAGTGATGATGTTAGGAAGGTGTTCAGTCTAGGGAAAAGCTGTCCGTTCCTTCAGAATTATCACACGCGCACACACACACACATACACACACACACACACAGACACGCACATACACACACGGACAGGGACAACAAGCAATCAGACAAACACAGAATGCCATGGAACATTGAACAAATGATGTCACTTTGGTCAATTATAACTGTGTAGGTGGGAATTGGATACGACTGTTCTTAGTGCTTTGAATTAGGGTAATTTATCCCCCCAGGTAATGAGAGACGGCAGGTTTAGGCTCAGCGAGTCTCTGCCCAAAGCTGATTGGGAAAAGGGACAGCATGTTTGCCAAAAGGAATCGCTGCTTCAGTATTTCTGAACTTGCGACTCGAGCAGAGCTCAGCCGGGCATCGCACGTCCTGGGCGTGCAGACCTCAGGCGTGTGCGGCGCAGGGCTAGTGGCACAGCGGTTTCGGGGTTTTCAGATCAACATCAGGTCGCAGTCCGATGTGTTTTTGCCACAAAATAAGTTTTCCCTGGCGGAACGAACAGAGAACTTGGAGGTAGAAGACCTCGGCTCCAGCCCAGTCATGGCCCTGGGAATGGAGACGTGTTTACTGGACAAGGCACACACACGTTCCTCACTTAATCCACAGCAAGGACCCATAGACGGGTTTCTTACTCCCTCCTGCGTGGTGAGAGTCTGGGTTGCACTGGTGGCTCGCACGCGGTCTCCTGCGCCCATGCCTGTGCCTGCAGCTGTCTCAGCTCCTCCCACCCTGACTCTGAGGTCACCCATGTGACGCCCTCAGCCAGGGGATGGATGTGAGCATCCCTGAGACAAGCAGAGCGTCTGGGAAGGGCATGCCTTTCTCCTGGAATCCCGCCAAGGCTGGGGGAAGCCAGGCACCCGAGGGGGATAAGAGATCCACGTGGTCAAGCTGAGGCCGTCCTGGAAGACCCCGCCATCAGCCGGACCGTGGACGGCCAAAGCTGGTGTCACCATCAGCTGAGAAAGTCCCAAGTCAGCAGAACTGTGTGACCGACCCACGCATGCTGAGAGATGTAAGACACTGTTTATTCACGACAGTGCTTCTCAGCCTTGGTGGGTGTACTGGGCAGTTCTCTGCAGTGGGCGGCTGCCCTGTGCATTTCACTGTAGGACATTTAACAGCTGTCTGACTTCTACCCAATGGATGCCAGTGTCCCCTCCCGAAGTCAAGACAATAAAAACATCCCCAGACCTTTCCAGGCGGTCCCCTGGGGGTCAAACATGGCTGACTGAGAACCCCTGCTCTCAGCTGGGTTTGGGGGTGCAGCATTGTGTGATAACAGGTCACTCCTACATGGAACGCAGAGAGGGAGAGAGAGAGAGAGAGAGGTCACCTGTTGGGCTGAGTCACACCCAGGAGAGGGCTCCAGCTCCCACGGCTTTCCAGTGCGGCCCCTCCCCGACCTGGGAACCAGCCCGAACTCCACACGGGGCTGCGGAGCCTGGACAGCTGCCCCAGCCGGGGGCCACTGGCTCTGTGCCCTGCGCCCCTGCTCAGTCTGCCTCTCCCCAGGGTGGAAACGCCGGGAAGTTCTCTCTGCGTCCTCAGGACACAGGATCAGGGTTCAGCTGGAGAACAATCAGCCTGGGGCTCAGAAAGCGAGGGGCTTGCCGGGCGTTTGGGCCATGAGCCTGGCGTTGGGTCCGGGCCCAGCCCGCTGCTCTCTGTCCCGGTGGCACGTGGGCCCATCCCCTGGTCCCTCTCAGCCACGGGCGGGACTTCCTTCCACGTGTGTGAGACGACGGCCCCCTCACGTCCTTTCCTCGCAGGACCTGTGTGGTTCTGTTTGTCACTCTGTGCTCCATGTTCATGTCAGAAGTTACCCAGACCACCTCTCACACTCCCTGAGGAGACGGCACCTCATGCCCCACTGTTCTGCTTTCGGGGTCACTGAGCCCCTCTGTTTAACCCATACATGGGCGAGCCTTCTGGAAGCCCAGAAGCTGTCTGTGTGCATCTCTCATCTGGGGCTCCCTTTAGCCCTCGCTCTGCGGATGGCCTCACCTTTTCCAGGGGCACCAGGTAACAGGTGTTCCGACCTCACCTGCCTGCTGCCAGCAGCTCAGCCGGGACCTCCAGACATCACCTCCTTTTCACCCAGGAGCTGAGTCACAGTGGCCTGTTGGGCCCCAGCTCCTGTCACACAGGCTTGAGCCTGGTTCCCACGGTGGGCGGAGGTGATGGGGGCTCACGGGGTAGGGGCGAGTGTCCCGCACCCGCAGGCGTGGAGGTGTTGGGCTGGGAAAGCACGGGGTGCTGCGTCCTCTCCCGGGGGAGACTCAGCTCCCAGACGTCCCCGGGGACCTAGCAGGAGCAGGTGCTGCCAGAGTCAGCTGCAGAATTGGGATCGGGGACGCCTGCAGCGTCAAGGACGAGCACCGAAATGTCCCCGGAAACAAGGCGGCAGGGTGGCATCCAGTCCCACTTCTCCTTGAACTTAGAGAGAAGCGGAGGCTCGGGCAGGATAATCACGTGCGCAGGGTCACCTGGCGAGAAGCAGGGGTTTGCAGTAATGTCCAGAGTGACGTCCGCGCATCTGTGATGCCCTGCCTCGTCCCAGGAAGGGTTTGGGGAAGCGTGTGCGCTGCCACCATTCCCCCCAACCCCCACCCTGGAGTCCTTTGCAATGTGGCGATTCTGTGAAACAGGGAGCGGGGAGAGAGGTTCAGTGAACACAGACACGTGCGGGGCGGGGGGCAGCGCCAAGGGTCCCGGCCACGGGTGGTCTGCTAGCCGAGCCCTCGGACACTGGGAAGGGCGACGGAGGGAGGATTCAGAGTAGAGACCCTGGGAGTGTGTGGTGGGCAGAGGTGCTCACCCGCCCTGTGGGCCCTCATCCAGCTGCCTCGGGGGCCCCTCCTCCCTATCGGAGCCCCCATTCCAGGGCCACCCCAGTGAGGCACGGGCTTCCCTCCCACCTGGAGCCTCGATCACCTTACCTGAGCCTCGCCGCCGAGACCACGGACAAAACAGAACTTGGGAGAACCTCGGTCCAGCCGGGCTGCTCGGCCCACCCAAATCCTCTCCCCGGCGTCCCCTGCGTCCCTGCGTATGTCCTGACCTGTCCTGATCCTTTTCCAGTCACCTCACTCAGTTGCAGGCGCTGGAAGGAGCCAGCACATCAGAAGTGACGGAAGCGGGAAGTGGGGTGCAGAGCGGGTCCCCCCCGGCATCCGGCCTGGCAGGATCGTCCCTGACTCGCCACCTGCTTTCCTGGCTCGGACACGGACACAAGTATTGTTGTCATTGATTTCCTGGTGAAGGAAAAATGTCACCAGGTTGGGCAGTTTCCCCGATTTTCCTACAGTTTCTCGCCAACAATGACTCATGCGTTGGAGCCCATTATCGTCAGGGAAACGGGCATTTGGGGAGCACGGCTGCCCGGCTGCTCCGGCCGTGAGCCACTCAGCCCACATCCGTCCTGAGCGCCTGGCTGTCGGGAGGTCTCAGGGACATGATTCAGCTTAGCTTGTTACTGTCACCGTTTCTGAATTGTCACCTGGCTCAGGCCAGCTCCAACACCCAAGGGCAGCCCTGCGTGTGGGACGCAGAGGGGCTGTGAGGTGGCATGGGCCTGCCTTCCTGAGCCTGGGGGCACACGGCGCTCCCCTCCCACCTGGGGTCTGACCTGTGCAGGCGGCGCCCTGTGGGCGCCCCAGCCACCACCTCCTCGGGTCCCCGGCAGACAGTGCCCACCACTTGCTCCAGCCCAGGTCTGACGGGCAGACTCGGAGCAGGACCTGGGTCTGCATTTCTGGGTGGGTCGGATGTGCTCCCGTGTTGACCACAACATATGGCTGTGTCGTAACTATGGGAGCGAACACGTGAACACATGGGGTGTGTTTCATCCCCACTGAAAGCGTGGTGGAGGGGTGGCCTTTCCAGGCGTCTTGGGGCTGGCTCCCCCTAGCCCTGGGAGGAGACGAATTTTTCAGGAATATGGTGAGGTGGTTGCTTAAACGTAGGTGACATGGGCTGCATTGTGGAAACCTCCCCAAAGACATGTGCATCCAAATCTGTTCATGAGAGACCCCTTATTTGGAAAAGGGGTCTTGCCAGGGGAGGTTCCTGAAATGAGACCACCCTGGATTAGGGGGGAGATAAACCCATGGACAGGTGTCCTCAGAAGAGCCAGGCAGATTTGAGACTCAGGCACACAGGGAGAGTGGAGGCTGGAGTGATGTGGCCACAGCCAAACTGGCTGGGGGGCCCAGGAGCTGGGGAGGCGGGAAGAGCCCTCTCCCCCAGGCTCCAAGGGAGCCCCGCCCCGCGACACTGATTTCAGACTCCTGGACTCCAGAGCTGCGAGAGAAGGGATTTCTGTGGTTTTAAGCCACCCGGTTTGTGGCCATTTGTTAGGGCAGCCACAGGAAACCAATACAATAGACACGACTAAAAAGTATGCTACGCAAATTTACAATTAAATAAATTAAAATAAAGACATACCTACTGAAAACTCAGCACTTCCTAATTGCCTTATTACATTTACTATTGTTTGTGCTCTGGAGGTCTGACTTACCTCTGCTTGTTCTGTGTGGCGGAAACGCTATACGATGACGTGCCACCCTGTGTCCCTTCCACACACCGGGCTCAACAAAGTCCCCTGCACAGCTGACGATGGGCCGTGGCGGGAGTGCGTGCACCATGGCAACGGGCACGTTTATTATTCTGTCGACTGTTGGAGGTAAGTGATGGAGACACTGCTCTGAAGGCAGGTTCAGTGGATGTGTGTCCCGGGAATAGCTGTTGCATTTGGGAAAACACACAAAAATGAAGGAGAGACTCACCTCTGACCCCAAGACCATCGCCCAGTACAGAAGGGCCCACCGTGAGCGGCTGGCGTCGATGCTGTGGTCTCCTTCTGCCTTGTGTGTTACTCACACATGCCAACCAAAGTACCAGCCAGCGTGCAGACTGAGAGCCTAGTACATCAGCTGGGACTACAGGTCGGCCACAGACACAGGACTTGGGGGAAAACCAGTGGAAGCATCCATGAGACTCAAGGGCCAGGGGGATGTATAATGAAGGATACCGTGTCGCTTCTTAGCATTTGCCGACTGGGTGCCACACATTCGTTCTCTCAGTAAAATGCATACTAAACAGAGGCCCTGGAGGCTGAGGGGCCTGGACCAGGTTCTGGCCCACATTAGAGGGAGTTTCGTTACCTGAAGTTCCTCGGGATTAGGGAGAAAAGCAATTTTAAAACTTCAAGAGGCGGAGAGGCAGGAGTGGCTTTATCCGTCCACCCACCCGGCATTCCCATTAACCCCCTGATGGCCCCGCACCGCTCCCCCCACCACAGAATGACAAGCAAACGGAGAGCGAAGCACAGGGGTCTGTACCAGGGTCAGGGAGCTGCTCCCTCCTGGCGGCCCCACCCCCACCCACAGGGTCACTGGTGCCCCACCTGTTACATGGACCCCTTCTCCAAAAGAGCTACGAGTGAATGGAAGCTCTAGTGTTTTCCTCAAATCCTGGGAGATTCAGGACAGAGGACCAGGCTCAGGTGGAGGCCGGGAGGATGAGGACTTAAACCACGCAAAGTTGCTTTTGCCTGACCTACGCTGAGGGGCAGCTGCGTCACCTTGGGGCTCGATGTGGCTCCTAACTCAGCTTGTTGAGGGACAGGCGCCGGCCCGGCCCGACCTGGGTGGGAAATGAAGGACAGAATGCCAGGACCCGCCCGCGTGCTGCCCCGTCCGGTCAGGCCAGGCCGCTATGGCTCGTGCACACAGCGTGGCCAGACGTCCGTGCAAACAGGCGCCACACCGAGTCACAAGCCACGCCCACTGTCCCAGGCAGTGACTGGTCGTGTCCCTTTCCATCCCAAACGC